CAGTGGCGCCGAACCCTATGTTAAGGTCGGGCCTTGGCCCGACATATTTTGAAAATTTAGGATAGGGCCGCTTTATATTGATCATATTCCCTTTCATGGTATGCCATTTTTGCCGATATTAAGATGTTGGGCCTCTTGAAATATTTTAATTGTGATTTACAGAATTATTTTTCTAATATCGAAAACAAAAACATTTGTTATCAATATAAATAATAAGTGATATGGTGTTCCGGCCTCGATTAAAATGGTGGATTGTTGGCTTCAATTAAATACACAGGCTGTATAGGCCAGTTAGCAATCTAGTTTATTATATATATCTGCCCCTAAGATATATATCTTAGTCCGTGGAAATGACAGTGTTGCTGTTCAGGTAACAATATGGTAACCATGAACAGGATTGCAAACCACAATCTATTAAATACTTAAAATTTAAATAGATATATATACAATGTGCGTACGTTTTAAACCACACACTACGAACATACAAAGTTTCGTAACACAGTTTAAACCCACCTAACCTAGCAAAAAAGTGCTTCTTGAACGCATGATAAAAAACGTGAAAATTATGTTTGGTAAATAATTATAGAAATATACTCATGTGAGGAAATTCCTAAAAACAATATTTTGAAAAAAGGTTATTAATTTTTAAATTAAATAACTTAAAAATATAACGAATTTTTAAAAAAAAAACTAAAAATAAACTACATTATTCAGATTAATCATAAATGATTTTACCATAAAAATTGTTCTTATAATAACAATTAGTTTGTAAACTATTAATTATTAATAATTTAATAAAAAATATATTTAGCATACATGTGTAGTAAATAATAGTAATCAGTACCGGATAGAATTATTTTTTAGACCTAAAGCAAACCATACAAACATACCATATAACTATATAAATGATCTCTAACAAACGCTAGTACCAAAAATTGAATTACTCATTTTATTCTTCTTTTAGATTGTTATCTGTAATAATTAACTCTACAGATTTCTAACAGGGAATTTCGTGTATTTCGTGTTTAGTCTTTTAATTGCCCACATAATATGGAATAAGTACAAACTAAATGATTCAACAAATTAACAACTCAACTAAAACAATTAATTGCTAACATACCACTGATACTTGACAATAATAACAAATATTAATAATAGAAATTAAGCTTTAAGRCTAAGAATATTGTACTATCACAATYAGTGGCGGCTTGAACTTTTTTCCCTCGAATCACGTTTAATATTTTTACACCACCCACCCTAAAATATAGTTATTAGTTATTACTTATTATTGTACATTATCTGCTGAGTACACATATTATATTTATTATTTATAATTTAATATTTAAATACCAACCTGCAAAAATGGTCCAATCTACCTTTTCCAACCATAAGACCTACCCACCCAACCACCCATTAATATATTTGTGAATCAYGTGATTCAAATATACTCCCTTCGAGCCGCCACTGATCACAATTATACTTTAAAATAAAAATCCATACAATATTAACAACATGAATGTATTATCATAGATTCCATATTAAGCGGTGGTTACAAATATAATAATTTTTATACAATTTCTAATAAAATTTTTTAATACGCTTAGTTTTAAAACTGTCAACTAAGAACATAAAAAAATTCCAAAATAACATTAACAATTTTAAACTTATTATTTCTTTACAATTTCATAGGRTATGAGATGAATGTTAATTTACACTATTTTCAATAGTTAAAATTGGGAAATTAAAAGTTATGGCTGAAATTCTTTATAGAATAGAGAATAACATAAATTTACTCACGTTCTCAATTACACCATTAAGGTATTAAAATTGTTATCATGTATTATGAACATGAATTTGCAATTTGTACTTGTAAATTCAATAAAATTAATTTCTATATAAGTTAGATTTTACATTTATCTGAAGAACAAAAATCAAATTTTTCGATAATTTATTATAAAATACTGAATAAACACACGTATACTTCTTTTCTTAAAAGTAAAAAGGAAAAAATGGTTAAGAATTTTTAATTAACTTCAAGATGCACGTCAATATAATAAAACGGTATTGTTGTTGTTTTTGTAAAAAGAAAACAGACTAGCCAAATTCATAAATTGATAATTTTGTTACATTTAGGACTACTAAACACAACTACAATCATAGGTGTGTTTGTAATAATACAAAGTTTAATTATTATTATCAAAAAATACCAATACTCTAAAATAATTTTTTTTATGCACAAATTCAATGTTATGAAATATATGGGATTTTATATTCATAAAAACGAAAACTTATGTTTGTATACTTTATAAAATAACCATATTGAGTTTGTACTATAAAGAAACTTTTTAACAGTATGTCTTTTTTTAAAGATGAATTTTGTTAACAAGGAAAAATTTAATTATACGTTCATATAAATTTTATAAATGAAAAGTTGTACATCGTTTTGGTATTAATAATTAAAATTGTATTGTCTTTAAAAATATGAATTTGGCTTTTGTCAACACCTAAATTCCTAAGCTTCCACCTAAACAGTAGAAACAAAAGAATTAGAAAGTTTGTCCAGCCTCTTTATAAGTAGTGAAAATTTTTTCGATTGAGTTAATATAAGCAGCAGTACGAAGATCAAGACCCAAGTTATATTTCATAGCAGTTTTCATAATAGCTCGAGCTGAACGTTCCATTGTATAATCTAATCCAGAATGCACTATATCTTTTTCAGATGCTCCGGAAATACGTTTTTGGAAAGATTCAGAAGGAGTGACAGGAATTCTTCCTCCCACACGACCAAATCGACGTTCCAATGACTCTTGCACAGATTCTACAAAAAGTTAATTGAAGTTATACCATGACTAGATATTTAAGCTATATGCACAAGGTGTTTTACCTAATAAATGGTAATTTGATTCACGCTCATATTTGAACGTCAAGCGACCGTAAGAAACATGATTCAAATTCTTTAACCATTCAAAGAATGATACAGTCACACCACCAGCATTTATATATAAATCTGGCACAATCAAAATATTTCGTTCTATTAGAATTTTGTCTGCAGCAGGGGTTGTTGGGCCATTAGCAGCTTCGCCAATAATCTAAAAATAGTTTTTGTAATATTAATTTATTTAAAATGCGTATTTTATTCAACTATTTTTAATGTTTTAATTACTTTTGCTTGAATCTTATGAGCATTAGCTGATGTTATAACTTTTTCAGTGGCAGCTGGTACAAATATATCACAAGGTTCATACATGAGGTTTTCGCCAGTGTATGGCTGAGCACCTGGGAATCCTAAAATAGTACCATTGTCTATTCTCCAATCTTCTAATGCCTGAAATAATAAACTATAGTTAAGCTTATATATTTAAATTTTATAAATTTTTTAAGTAATTACTTTGGGATCAATTCMATCTGGGTTGTAAATAGAACCATCATGTTCAATTACACCAATGCATGTAGCACCTGCTCTATGTAAGTAACGCATCGAATGTAATCCAACATTACCGAAACCCTTAAATGATAAAATTTTAATTAAAAATCATAAAATTAGAGACAATATAATTATAATATAAGCTAACTTGAACAATAAATGTTTTTCCACCCCAACCAGGTGTGGTACCAATCAAGCTCATATAATTGGCCTCCATAATGAAATTTTCTAACCCGTGGAAAACACCTCTACCAGTAGCTGATACACGACCATGAATTCCACCTTGATTAATTGGTTTACCAGTTACACAAGCATGAGCATTAATGTCCAAATGCCCTATTAAATAAAAAGATAAAATGAGTACATAATATTTATTATTTTCATTATTATAATAATTAATAGAAGGTTTTAATTTTTTTTTTTGATTTTTTTGTTAAGGTTATCAGACATTTCAATTCAAGAAATATAATAGAAAAAGTTGAACTCATTATACACTTTAAATGTGAATGTGAATTGATAGTACATAAATATATGATTAAAACATAATAATCAAAAACATTTATTGTTATATAATTATTATAAAAATAATAACCAATAGTTTTGGCATATGTATCAGCAATCCATGACATTTCGCGTTCACCAGTTCCCATATCTGGTGCAGGTACATCAACACCAGGTCCTGAAAAAAAATTATTTATGAGATTTTAATAAAAATAGGTTTAATATTATAAATAATACATTTTTATTTCTTGTAAAATAGAATTGAATTATATGTCATTAATATGTATATTATAATAATTTGTATTAACATACCATATTATATAAGGCATGAATAAATAAAATAAATGATCTGCTAGAAGACTTAATTTACAACTAATTTATTTCCTATTAAAACTCTACATTTTTCAATGACCCTATTATCATCATCAATTGAGCTTAACCCTATTATTTATGCCATTGGGTTTCCGACCATATTTCTCACGCTATGGTTTGACATAATTTCTAATTGAGGTCATGGAGAGTAAAACTTTTATTTGAATAATAATTTTGTTTGATCATTTAAAATAAGGCTTAATCAAAATTAAAATATGTTTATATACTAACCAATAAATCCCTTTTTAGCCAATTCCAAYGTGAACCGTCTAGTAATTTGCTCTAATTCATTTTCTGAATACAATTTTGGATTTATTTTAATGCCTGCTTTTGCACCTCCAAATGGTACATCAACACACGCACACTTGAAAGTCATCAAAGCAGCTAAAGCTTTTACTTCATCACGGGAAACATCCAATGAAAATCGAATGCCTGAAATAAAGTTTATAAATACATATAGTACAAGCAATTTTTTGGAGAGGTTTTTTTTTATTTTTTTTATTAAAAATTCATGAAATCAATAAATTAAATACTATCCAACATTAAATGCTCTATATATTTAATAATTGTAATATTGTAAAATGTATTGTAAATTGTACCTTAATGTATAAGTAATATTTAAATATGTAAGCTAATAACCTTAGTTGTTGAGGCTTTAAAGTAGGTAATAAAAAAAAAWATATATATTTAATAATTGTTATTTATGTAATCTTAATAAACATAACTAATTTTTAACGAGGATATCAATTACAATTTTAAAATGTTTGTTATTGCATTTCTAATTTTAATCTTATCTAGATCTTATCATAATTACAAAAATTAATGACAACTTGTTATTAAAATGACTCAATGTTTAAGAATCTTATTTATCAAAATAAGTATATAACATCAAATTATTATTATGAGTACCTATCTAATCTAAAATATTACTAATTAATTTAGGTATATTTTGTACTGTTTTTAATTAGGATAATACACCGTATTTTTTGTGTAGATATTCAATTTTGTATGATAGGTAAATAAACATGATTAAAGCAAAATAAATCATTTAAATATCATAATCTTCTAGTGTGAAATTATATAATTTTTGTAAAATTATTTTATTGAAKTACCTATCTAAGCTATCTAATATTTTTATGTTTATTTTAAATGTGATATTATTAAAATTATAAAATTATAACAATTCATGTAAAATATTCACATATATTGGAAAAGTTAGAAAACAAGATTTTACTATAGTAAAACATTTATTTAGATAGGTTTCATTAATTATTAACATAAGTGACTAAGGTAAATCTAACAATTACTCTTTTAATGTTTTTGATGACTCATCCTTAACTTAATAATTATACTCTGAAAAAAAAATAGTAACACAYTATATTATGGACACTTAAAGACCTTGCAACTTGCATATTTAATTTTTAGCATTTGTTAAGTGGTTTTAGTTTTAAAATTTAAATACTGTATTAGTATTTAAAAATAATACACTCACAATAATCACACCAACTACCTATTAGTTTCAGACGTTTTATGTTTAAAATAATCCTTAATGTCTATTGTATAATCTTTTAATATGGGTAATGTTTAAACAATAAGTAGKTAGTTACTATTTAAGCATAATATGAAATGTTTAAATTATTACCTAGGTATGTATTTTTAACTTTTTTTATGTACCTAATAATAATTAGTTTAAAAAATATCTATTAAAAATTATTTTAAGGACTTGCTAATGAATTTCAAGAGTTTTGAAAAACATATATTTAATTTTAATTTGTATAGTTATTATTTATAGGTAGGAACACTAGGAACCTACTATTGTATTATATAAATACTATTTTTGTGTTTAAATGATAGGCATTACTTCAGCTACATCTAAAAATACAGTATTTAATACATATCTATTTTTTATTTTTCAAAATTTTAGACAGGTATACCTATCATAAAAAATTCAAATATTATACTAAAATAATTTTATATTTWTATCCACTACTAACCTCCTTTACATGGTGTTCTATGTGTACTATGTTGTGCACGGTAACCTGTAATCATCTCGTAGTCACCGCTATCCCTGCGAACTGGGAAAGATGTCTCCAGTATGTGATCGCACGGCTGCATGCCCAACAATATTCCCTTGACTTTTTTCCTCTTATCTTCCACGGACATCTTGGCTTTGATGTCCTCGACGAGCTTATCCTCAGCCACCTGRCACGCTCGATGGAAGAAATATTCCACCATGTCAAAGAACCGTGGGTTCTCGGCTGTAGGCACATCCTTGAGGTGATCTGGCATCTCATGAAGTCCACGAGCAGACGACATGGTCGCCGTTCTCAGGACGCTCTCCGAAACGTTACGTCCGAGTCGGCTGAGATTGTACATGGTGACAAGAGTGGTTGACAGACGGTATAGGGGACAATAATAAAATGGAAAAAAAGCTGAAAACCGGGCGGCAAACCTAAAATAAATTAATAAAATACAATCTAAAACACAACGGACGATCAGAGAGGAACGGGAGGAGACGGCTGACGCATACTTGGCAGCTGCTGATGTACAACTAACGAGACGACGGACGAATCGATATACCGGCGGATATTATTGTGTAATAGTTTTATCGGACGGTGCCTCCTAGACAACGAAGACGACAGGTCAGCTATAATATTGTTAGGCTGTATACGGCGATAGGTCGGCTGTATTCGGCCTGGCAATATTGCAAAAAAAAATTAATTAATACGGCCGTCACGGGAGGGGACCGAGATTATTTTATGAGGAATTGGATACGAAAAATCGCGCGCGTGCGTGACGACTGCCAACCGGTGATGTTGTATAATAAATTATAATTCAGCGTAATATTAGGTTGTAACCGCGGTCGTCCAAGTCCTGATACCGCGATGATACGGAATTCATAATAATGGCATGTTATCAGACGTGTTTACTTTTGGCGGGAACGGTATCGTCTTATCTCTGATCTCGGAAAAATGAAAATGAGAAAACTACAAAATATTTCCGTGTCTGTCACTCTATAATTGTCCATACGAACGTAACTCCAACTCCCGGGACTACTGAAAGYCTGAAACGGAACTTTTACTATTGTACTGTTGTAGTATGTATGGTAAGTTATTAGTACACTTAGATCAGTAGTCAAACATAACCTAGACTTTTTGACCTTTCTCCTGAAAGCAGAACTACAGAAGTGCAGGGTTGTGAACTGTAGACTACCGAGTTCGGAGAACCACAACAACTAAAATTAACAATAACAAAAATGATGACGAGTGACTGAAGAAAATTATTTTTAATTATTATTTGATGTACCTTATTATTGAACACTATGGACGATGCCATACAGCACTTGGAACATGTGGTGACTAATATTGAAAAAAGAATAGACACTTTAAGTTGGAAAATAAAGAAATTCGAACGAGTTCTGTTTTCAGAAAAYGAAACATCCCACTCGGTAAGTACAATTTTATCAATTACTATGTAGGTAACTAATACATACTCGTATATGTTTTGATTTAGCATTCATATTGTTTTGTAATTCAAATCGAGGTGGTTTGTTTGTGTTAATATGTTTTAAAACGTTTGTGAAATTAATTAAACCGCTTGTAATTACAGTTAAATTTGTATTACCTACAATATTATTTTGATTTAATAATAATAATACGTAGTATACTAATCAAAAATAATAAKTTGTCCAACAATAAAATAAAATTGTTAGAAAACACAAATTTAATTTTTAAAAATTAATTTAAGTTGAACATTTAATATTATTATTTATCAAACACTTATAAAACTAACAATTGACATGTGCATGGCATCTACCCAAAAAGTAGCTTATTACTAATTACTAAAAAACCAAGTACCATCAATTAGGAACTAGGAACATTAGGCCATACCATGCAGATTGATTTGATTTTAGTTATAGTATATAATTATGGTTTAATCTACTGACATATTGTAGATAATAACCTAACCTAACCTAAGTATTCAGCTGTGTTTTTACTTTGTATTACCTATCAAAATTGTATATTTAAAATTATTTTTTGATTGTGCCGCATTGAGTATTCTTACGCTCGAGCTGATAAATAACTTTTTGTGATACTGTTTATTACTACTGATAAATTCAAAAAATAACACTTGAAACTAAAGTAATYAATAAAATAACATTTCAATTAAAAATTAGGTCATATTATTAATTTATTTAAAATTTAGTGTAAAATGATGTCCATGATGGCCAATTTAGAAGAAACTTGCCGTAAATATGATGAAATAATATTATTGGTGATGGAACATAAAAATGAACAAAATGCATTAACTGATACATTACAACTTCAAGTGAACCTAGTAAAAAGTAAAGTCGAAACTTTACGAGCAATTATGACTAAAGGAAGAACGATTGAGCTATAAGTTAATAAACTATTAATTTTTTATTGAGAAATTAATAGGTGTAAGCAAAGATAATTTTTATAATATATATATATCTATTTTTTTGTAATTTCCTTATTATTATTATAGTTTCTATATTATTATTAGCAATGTATATAAATTAATGATTTTTAAAATATGTACTTAACATACTTTTCATTAGACTTAAATATTGTAGTTTAACAAAAAATTAGTAAAATTTAATGTTTCAATATTTGTTCAGATATTTTGAATAAATGAACAACAATATAATATTTTGTTTTTGCATTTTATTGCCCTTGAATACAATAATAGCTATCACCCAACATCTAACATAAACCATGTTATTATAATGTTTTACATTTAAGGAAGTTAACCTTGATCCCGCCTAAATTGACCGTACCTATATTTGAATTCTTTTTATATGAGATAATATACTCCACGCAATTTTATTATTTATTACAGTATTTTCATAAGAGACACAAGATTTATCTGTTCACATCATCCATCCACTTGTAAGTWGTAGTAGGTGTAGAGTTGTAGCATGGAATGGGCCAAACTCAAAACGTTTATTTTAAAAATAATAACGACACGTGCAGAGGAGATTTATTGCATAATTACCAAAAATTATTAAATTCTCATCTAAACCATTCAAACTACGTAAATAATTAAAAGTTCTGTACCTGTTGGCTCAGTTGGCTGTAGGCCTCAAACAATGAAACTATTTGCTGTAAGTGTTTACTGTTTAGTAACAATATTCGCGTTAAAAACCGGTTAGGTTAGGGCAGGCGCTCATTAAAAACACTTAAACATGCAGTCATGCATACAACTGTGTAGTGATCAACTCGTGTATAGGTAAGAACTTAAGGCGATAAGATTTTTCCAAAATCAGCTTTTAATGAACTCAATAGTCAAAAGTCAATACTAGTACCTGAAACAATATAATTTAACATCGTAACACAAATATAGAAAATGCGCTAAGTAGGTATACTTATTATTTATCTACGATGATAAAAATAGGTAAGATTATAAGTTGAATTATAATGAGGATATCAGTAGATAATTGTATGTTGACATGTTGTAAGTGTGAGCACGTATTGCCCAACATTTGAACGTTCGAGTTCCAATGATTTAATTTCAATAATCATTTAACTCAATGGTATACACCATAATATTATTTAAGTACACTATAAGTCGCGAATCCCCTTAAAAAAAACACTTATTTGTAAATAAGAAYAAAATAACAATTTATGGAAATATTATTATTATTTAAATTGAAAATATGTTATGTCGTTTTCTTTGTTTATTGTTATATAAATCGAAGGCCACAAAATYTAAAAACAATAACCAGTTATTTCGATGGAAATTCTATTTTACTATTTTAGTAATTTATWTGATCGACAGTTTCAATTGTTACATGTAACGCCTTGGCCTGTTGGACGGAGAGGGCGGGGGAAATAAGCCGCGTATTATAGACGCAATTGAAGCTGAGAACTAAATCTTTTAGGTTTGAGATTGAGAGTACCTCTAAATAAATTTTCCGTAAGGTTAATATTATTAACCCTATTTGGTTTATTCCACCAACTATTACTACCTACATCAAACATAMCTAGTTCATAAGATAGTGCTTCGATTTCAATTATAATAAAATAGGAATATTATATAGGATATAAAAATTCGTTGTGATGGTTCCAGCGGCGGCGCTAGAATTTTAGTACCAGGTGGGCGAGGCTGGAGCCCAAATTTTTGACTTGATATAATATATAATATATATATATAAACAATAGTGTTGACAGGCGATTGCGCAGAGGGGGGAGAGGGAGGGTCAACTTCAAATTATAATATAATAACTAGTAAGTATAACTTATTAATTATTATGTTCGTATTTAGCCGCTGGAAAATACACGTTATTTATGAGGTTT